AATAGGTCACAAGCAAGGCTTAACAATCGACTCATTCTAGATCAGGAGAGAACAAAAGGGGAAGAAAAAACTGAAGGCAAAAAACAAAGGACCAATATGTGAGGATATGAAAAGAGAGTCATACCTCATGGGCTCCTAAAAAAAAAAAAAAAAAAAAAAAAAAAAAAAAAAACTGAATAGCGCAACGCAACGTAACCCACTTTTTACTCATCCCATCAATCACACAAAATGTATGAGGAGACCATGCACAGGTACAAAAAAAAAAAAAAAAAAAAAAAAAAGGGAATGCATATTTCGCCCCTGGCAGAAGAGCCCACTTGCGGGTGTTCCCCTCCCCTGAGGCAGCGCGCGTAGGTGTACACGATTTTCAATGCCGCTTCGCCGCTTATCTGCGTGACCGCTTCAGCTGAGGTCAAAGCCCTGCGTGCCGCTTATCGCTGTGAGCAGGTTTTTGCGCAGGATTTCCCTCGAGGCGTAGTCTGGGAGCTTGAGCAGGTTGACGCACGTGGAGGCAGTGGGCAGTCTCGTGTGGTCCACAACACGAAAGATACAAAACTTAGGGTAGAGTTCCTGGAAGCCAAGCAGTGGGGATCTAGAGCAGCTAGTTACAAACATAAGAAACAGGCTCTTCTCCTTTGGAGAAAACGTTTTCAAAATGTGATACAGGTTTACCACAGTTTCGCTATTTGCATTGTAGCCTCCACCATAAACAACGTTTCTTCTTAAATCATCCACGTCAAAGCATTTATCGTTTCCTGAAATGAGAGTCTTTAACTCATGAGCATTAAAAAGTTTGAGCCACTTTGTAGGGATCAATTCTGAGAGCCCTTTCAAAAAAGCCTGGGTTTTTTTTCGCACCATTTTTTTAAACTTATAATTTATGTACAATTTTATGTATTGCTTTTTGTTCTTGTCGTCCACGGGTATATTTCTTCCGTTTTCAATCAAGTCGATGCACACCAGGTCGTCTGTTCGAACACCTGCCGCGTCCACGCGCGCACCCGCCGCGTCGTCTATGCTCACACCTGCCGCGTCGTCTGTTCGCACATTTACCGCATCATCCGAATCGAGGTCGTTGGCGCTGCGCAGGGGGTACGGCAAGACCTGCCCGTGTGAGCCCAAGAGCACCCCATTGGAGGTCGGACTCAAATTCAGCTCGTTCCGTCGCAACAGCGTTTGTACGGTGGGGGACCCCGCGTCGTAGTTGGCACCCCCGTGGTACCGCTCTGTCGTGTTCACTTCGGGCACATGGTCTTCTAGAGGCACCGGGGAAAGGGAAGACAGATTTCGATCCAGCGTGTGTATTAATGCGTCCAAATTGTCAATGATGTTGAAGAAGCTGTTGATGTTGTCATGATCAGGGGAGACTCCCGTGTGAGAGAAGAAGCGTCTCACAACGTTTCCTCGGCTTCCATTCCCCAGGCCGCTCCCTCCCCCAACGAATCTTCCTCCAGTAGTTGCTCCTCCAGTAGTTGCCGCTGCTGCCCCCGCAGACAACTGCTTCCCCAGGGCCTGAAAATAACTAATGATATCCTCATACCTTTGTACATCCCCCACATCGGGTTTCTTCCCCTCATAAATACAAAACGTAAGTGACAGGTTCTCCACATGAGGGGTGTTCTGAATGAACAGCAAGCTTTTGAACACATGCTGGTCGATGAAATATAAGTCGTTAATATCAATGTCCACATCCAAGTCTATATCGTCACACAGGAGGAAGCTTAAAAACACATCATTAAAAACAGATTCAATTAGTATGCGCTCGTAAATGGCCTTCCCAATTACCTTCCCAGCAAAGGTGTACAAATTCAAATTATCATTTGAATGAAATCTCTTCGGGTAGAGGGTATCATTGTGTACAGAATCGAATAGAAAAAATTTTGAATGGAAAATCTCTCGACATAAAAGTATCATGAATTCCTTAAACAGTCCTCCTCCATCAATGCCAGTTTCTTCATTACCATTATGGTCAATAAAAGCGACTCTAATATTTTGCTTCACCTGAGTAGCATCTAGCATGTGAAGCAATATGAAGGCGTCTTCCACAATATGTGTTCTTCTAATCAAGTGGTGCTTTACATCTACTAAACTGAACCTGCTATCATCTCGGATACTCTCCTTGGACTTGTTCCTGTTGTTATAAAATATTAATATGCGATCGTCAAAAGGGAGAGTGAAGGGAGTAAACCTCAACAGGTAGTTAGCCAATTCATTCACATGCTTAACATTATAATTCAGATAGGCGTCATTTTTGTCAATGAAGAGATGGGATTCCGTATCGTAGTTACCACTACCCGTGTTACTACTGCTCATTTGATTGGACCCACTTCCGCTGTTATTCTGGTCCCCAATTATGTTAAACCGATTCTTTAACAAACTACTTGTTTCCTTAATGACGAAGAAGTCTTCCTCGAACAAATGTACGTACCCATTCACCTTGTATAACTTCTTCAATAAAAGTGGTAATATATAATTCAGTCCTCTTCTGTCCCGATTATACAGCATGTAACTTATTAAGGCGGAGATTATTGCGGACGCGTCTTCACCGCCTCGACTACTGTGCATGCTGCTTTTGAAGCTACTACTTAGGCGATTCGTGTTGGCTATTCCGATCCCGTCATACGTGTCGCATGTGGAGAAATGCATTCCTTGACTCATCAAATGGTGCGAACTGGACGGGTATATTCTCTCCACCGAGGAAGGACCCCCTGTGCTAAGACAGTCCAGCGCTTCCAAAAGATCCTCCGCTTTGCAGTCCGCTAGGCCTTCTCCATTTGATCGCAAAAACGGCTCGTCCTTTGCATAGACAGAGATGGGGATTTGTTCGAAGCAGCGTAGGGGTTCACACAAGTCCTCTCCACCGCTGACGTGTCCATCGCTGACGTGTCGACCGGCCTGATGGGCAGCCCCCCCCTCGATCTCCTCTATGGCCCTCTCCTCCCTCCTATTCATCTCCCGCTCATACTGCTCATCCTCATCGTTGTACGTGTCCTCCTCAGTGATAGCTTCGGTGAAGTCCTCCAGCTCGGTGTCCTCTCCCCCTGCCTCTCCTCCATCTCGTCCCACAACCCCTTTCTCCTCACAAGCTAGCCGATTCACCACTTCGCAATTAATAGAATACATGGACTTCTTGAGCATCACCCACAGGGACATTAGCAGCAGCTTGCATACCTTCTTAAACGCCACGGTGGTCATAAAATTTTTACACACTTTAAAAGATTGAATATTTATCAAGTTCACAAACATATTAGCCACGATGTAGTAGTGGAGGAGGAAGCAGAGGGAGGAAATATATATGGAGACAATGGTGTGATCGAAGTAGGGGAAGGCGGAGAGGTACTTAAAGAACATGGTATCGTTTGCTTTACAATTGGTAAACCACAATAAGTACACTTCTCTCACAAGGTAGATGTGCATATCGTGCTCAATGAGGATTTTTTTCACCTTCAATATGATATCATTACTTAGAAGATCCCCATCACATGACCTCTTGCCCCTTTTTCCCTTCGCCCTCATGAGGTTTTTCAAGCTGAACAGGGGTCTATGCCTGTGGGTTCTCCACGCTGTTTTTTGTATCGGTTGATCCCTTGAGAGGGGCCTCGTCTGGGGGAGCAAGCCGTACGTTGGGCCATTCCACGAAGCGCTTGCCCCTTCTCCAAAGAGTGACCCAGCTGCAGCACCCCTCGTGAGACTTCCGCTCCCGGCCACTACTTCCTCCCCTCTATTGTCACCAAGGCCATTTCCACCAATTCGATTACCACCATGGGCTGTTGCTCTCCGCCAATTAATCAATTCACTTCTGCGGCCAGCAATCACGCACTCCTGGTTGCTCACATTTTTTACAAACTCGTAGTAGTTCCTGTACCGACGGAAGATGCTCCTGTGAATGGTTCTAAAGGGAAGAAGAAAGAACAGCAGTGCGTCCAACCTTCTAAACCCACCCTTCTTACAAATCTGTATTAAGGAATCGACTACCCCTTTAGAGTAATAAAAGCCCATGTGTGAGAGACCCTTATATGATTTCCACAGATCTGCGTGTACTTCTTTCTTTTTATTTGGAGTTGATTGTTCCCATGAGGCTCCACCGATGGAGGTGGATCTCTTCTTCCCTACCACGTCCTCTGTTTGAATGTGCTCCGTGTTGCTGTTGCTGTTGCTGTTGCTGTTGCTACAGAAGAGTCCGGTGCGGGGAGACGAGGAGGACAAGTCGCCCTGCTCATCGGTATGCGCGTCATCGTCATCTTTTCCGCCTCCACAGTGAGTACCCCCGCCTACCCCTTCATCCCCCTCAACGCTGTTATCAATTCGGTCTCTTGTCCCCCCTCCCCCCACTTTATACACATAAGGGTGATACTTGAGCGATAGGAATAAGTAGGCCTCCAGGAGGATGTTTAAAACGTTATCCTGCACCAGCGCTTCATTCGTATGAACAAACAAAAGCATATTCTTAAATAAATTAACCCCAGATATATTCTTCTGATCAAAGGAGATATGATTAAACAAATGGTACTTGTTCAAATGGAGAAGAAGATTCTCATCTGAGTACACCAACTCCTGCATAATATTCATATCATGTCGTTCATAAGTCTTATTAACAATTTTCAAGAGCAACAGTTTCATCATCCCAAGTTCTTTCTTCACATCAATAGGGGTAGAAAAAATTTCGTAAATTGAATACTTAAAAAAAGCTATGTATAAAGAATGGCAATCCTTTAGATGATGATCCACACTAATACAAACAAATTGTAAAAGTACGTTTACTTTTCCTTTTACCTCCTCTACATTTTCATGTTTTATTTCATGTCCCTTCATCTTCAGCGATAATAAAAAAATATATATAAGATCACACAAGTAAATCAGTAGCTTGGTCGAGCTGCACTTGGAAATCTGCTTCGGTGTATAACACAAAAGTAACTTTTTCAATATGTGTATAATCCCATCCATTGTTAAAATAATATAATCACTTATTTTATGAAGTGATTGTAATACGTTATTATCATTACAGGGATGTTGTTTGCTCTCCATTTTTTTCTCCTTCAGAGAGTTCATTTCCTTTTCCATGTGGGCACAGAAGGATTTATTCAGAATAAAATTGTACATGTGGTACATGTAGAGCACTTGCCCATTGTCGTATCTTTTATGTTGATCATCATTCACACTGGAGGAAACTCCCCCTTGGCTACCACTCAACAAATGACCTCTACACCTCCTCACATTTCGCATCCCCGAGTGGTACTCTCCATATATATTTTCGCCATATAAATGGTACTCTCCCAAGAGAACATCTAAATGGTTAAGTAAAATTTGTATTTCCTTTTTATGCCTGTACAGGAATTTATTGCTAACGTGGATTGCTTCCTTCCGATTTGTGTCTTTTGCCGGTTCACTTCCCCCCATCTGCGCAGAACCCCTTCCATCCTGTTCACTTTTTCCCTCCCCCACCGAATGGGGTTCATCCAGTTGCCCCACTTTGCCATACAGCTTCACCACATCTAGGAGGTGTTTCACAGGAGGGTACAGACTCTCAAAGTTCATACCCTTATAATAGTAGTAGCAACTCCGACTGGAGTACAAGAAGGTGGAGCTCAGTGAAAATTCATGGAGGCATATTCGCAAGGCTCTCTCATACACATCTGGCGCGACTAGGTTCTGCAACAACATCACATCACTGATTCTCTTCCCGATCAGAATCTGAATCTCGTTTCTCCTTTTCTCAAGGCATTTTTTAAAGCTTACATAAGTGCCAATAATCTTAAAGGCGTTTTTCCTCCTCGTCAAGTTGAGGTGGATCTCTTTCTCCTTTTTGGCCCTCTCGATGAAGGAGTCCTTGTTGAGGATTACATGTTTCTTCCCACTCAGGTTAATCTTCCTGCTGTTTTTGCTTTCTCCATTAAACATGTTCGTGCGCCTCGCGGGGGACCGGTTAACACTGTAGGAGCGGTTGCACTGTTGCGCTGTTGATGCGGTTACGTGGTGGACGCCGCTGTAACCGGAAACCAGTTTCTATACACCCCTTTTAGTCCGCGCCGGCTTTGCACAAAAAGGGGGAGGGGCCAGACGCTAAAGTGGGTCGAGGGGGGGTGCAGACCTTGCGCGTGCCTACGTATGTGCGGTGGTGCCCACGTATTATGTGCCTATGTGTACACCCACGCAGACGTTGCTGTGTACCCTTTCGCGCATGCGTTCTGCACTTGCCCGAGTTCGCATGCGTCCGTACATGTGCGAACGTGCGGGCGGTGACTTTCACAGGTGAATAATAGCATAGGACGGTATTGTATACATACATGTATGCTTATATGCATTGTTCATGCGAAGGCGAATGCATCCCACCTCGTTCGTTTTTTCCCCTCTCGTTAAAAAAATAAATAAATAAAATACATTAAATAAATCATATATATAAGCAAGGGGGCACAAATGAAAATTATTCCATTGTGGAAAGAGAAGTAAAGGCAAAAACAAAACAAAGCAGGGTAAAGAAAAAAGAAGCAAAGCGAGCCGAACCGAAACGAAACGAACCCAAGTCATGCAAACCGAAGCACAACTTTTTTCCATTCAACCTGGGTACTCCAAATTTTTTATTTACGTACCATACATGCACATATGTATATATATACTCTTCTCGGGGACGGCAAAACTTTGGAGTACAAAGCTGCGTCGCCTTTCCTTGCCCTTTTTTTTTTTTTTTTTTTTTTTTTTTTCCCTATTTTCAAGGCAGCAAAATGGTGATTTAAACGAAGATGTAATTTTTTATTCTTTGGCGAAAATTTCCTTTCAGCATCCTAATGTCATATAAGGGACAAAAAAAAAAAAAAGGCATCTGAAAGCTTGTACATGTGACATGTACTGAGAATACGTACATGACATCAGGTTAGAGGATCGGCTTTACCACCTTTTTGCTTCATTAGCTTTAACTGAAGTGCGGCGTTTAAACTTAACAGGGTTGACCGCGAGGTGGCAAAGCCGGATGATGCAGGAATTGGCCAAGTCAGTACCACATATGTATACCGCGGACGGTACCTCGTTTGTGCTAAACATACGGTAATGTACCCCTTCGCACTTGTGGCATAAATAGGCCCTCTCTTCCTGCGTGAAGCCCTGGCTTTTTCGCCAACTTTAGGAGGCGCACAGTCGTCCCTCTCTCTGCACAGATGCGCGCTACGCGCATTAAAGGGCAAGAGAGAAGTGGTACGCAGAACGGTACGGCTAACCGTCCCCCCCTCTGTATGCCTGTGATTATGCATGTGATTGTGCCTGTGTTTTATGCCTACACGCCTGTGACCTAGATACCCGTGATTTACACAGTGCGCGCGTCTACACTGCTCCCCTTGTGTACATTTCTATGCGTAGCCCAAACTGTTTTTGGAGGACCGAACGTACATATACAGAACGCACGTAGTTTATTTTTTTTGCAAACGCCTTTAAAAGAACAGAAGCGTTATGCATGAAACATTGAAGGAAAATTGATTCAGCTAAACGTACGTTGAGGCGAACTGTGCGCAAACCGCAGCGTCGTGGCCAACACATGCCGTTAATATAACCATTACGAGTAGTCGATATCGACGACGACGGTGCCAGCGTCTAGTGTCAACTTGGACGTAAACACCAATTTTAAGTTTTACGCTATGCGCTTCAAACCCGCAGGCAACAGCTAAAACCAGTCGCTTATTGCTGCAATGGGCGTCATGTTTGACGTTTTTGCGTGGCCGTAAACATATCCACGTAGAGCAATTATTTGGGCAAAATTTACACCATTCTAAAATTGACGCCTCTCTCTTTTGTGTGTTTCACATTTGTATTAGTTTTTTACCTGAACAGGCAATATTTGTTTTTTTTTTTTTTTTGCAAATGTGCAGAGTAAACTGAGCAGCAAAAAGCATAAATGCAAGTGTAGCTAGCTGTTTTTTTTTTTTTTTTTCCAGCTAGCCAAAGTAGTGTTCATACTTATATGTAAACGTGCGTGACTGTACCTGTAAACACGCACATACATTATAGGTTAACAACTTTATATGTTTGTATTTGTAAGTTAGTTACGTACATGTTTATGCCCCCTTCCCGTGAAAATGGCGGAGCATCTAGCACGGATAATCGGAACAGAAGAGGACAGAGTTAACTGTCCCTTCTTTTGGAAAATAGGAGCGTGTCGCCATGGCGATCAGTGTAGTCGAAGCCACTACAAGCCAAACACTGCCCAAACGTTAGTTATTCGTCACATGTACGACAACCCCCCAATGGCCGTTGCAATTGCAGAAGGGCAAATGGTGGAGGATGAAGTGTTGGACAAAGCAGCGGACCATTTTGAAGAGTTTTACGAAGAAGTCTTTGAGGAATTAATGAAGTATGGAGAGATTGAAGATATGGTTGTATGTGACAATATAGGAGATCACATCATTGGTAATGTGTACATAAAATACACACACGAGGATTATGCAGAGAAGGCTGTGAAAGAGTTGAATGGGAGATTTTATGCGGGAAAGCCGTTACACATTGAGTACACCCCTGTAACAGACTTCAGGGAGGCCAGGTGCAGGCAGTTCGTCGATGGTCAATGCCGACGAGGTGGGTACTGCAACTTTATGCATATCAAACATGTACCTAGGTCAGTCAAGAGGAAGCTGTACAAACGAATGTATAAAAAATTTCCAGAATATAAGAAAAGGAGGAAAATCAAAGACGGTTCCGAGGACGGACATTACGACAGCCACAGGGATAGAGGCAGTAGGGACAAACATAGGCGTGATAAATATGGGGACAGTTACCACTCTTCTAGACGCAGAAATAGGAGTAGAAGTCGGAGCAGGAACCGTGATGATGCCGATGGGGACAGCGACGGTACCAGTAGACGACATAAACGTCCTAGGAGGGAAAATAGTGCCGAGCGCAGGGAAAAAATTGAGAGGTGGAATAAGGAGCGAGAAATGAAGAATATGCAAAAGGATGGTGATGATCAGGACGGTTGCCAGGAAGATAAGGTGGAAGAGCAACCAGACGGGTGACGGCACAGACCAGTCAATACGGAAAAAAAAAAAAAAAAAAAAAAAGGCTGAAAATGTGAAGCGAACACAGCAGACAGACCACGTTGATATCCCCATAAACGTCGCAAAATAAAACAGCATAGCACAGCCGAATTTAAATGTGTTAACATTTATATATATATATTTTTTTTTTTTTTTTTTTTGTATTTAAAGACCTTGTTATACATCCCCCGGAAGGAACTCCACAACAGTATGTTTCGTTTGTTTTTAATTAAAAAATTTTTTTAACCCCTAAAATGTAACTTTTTCGTCTTAAGAGTGCATTTTTTTTTGTCTTAAAAGGGCATTAGTTTGGTCTTAGCGAAAGGGACCAACGGATGAGTACGCGCATGTCTTGTAGGATGGTGTCACGTGAGGGGCTGGTGCGTTTTAAAAGATTTCTTCCCATTCATTCAGCTTTTACTACCCAATCCTGTTCTACGTGAGTGCCTCTTGCTACACTTCGCGTAGCCACAGTTGGTTTTCCACTCCGAAAAAGTGCCGCAGATGCGGGAAAAGCTGTTCACACAGCTCTAAGAAAGATATACTTCGTGGTAACTACCAATTGGGGAAAAAAAAAAATAATAAAATAATAAAATGAATAAACATAGACTCTCCTCTTGTTGATTAAGCCAAACAGGAGCGACTTCCTCGGCACATTTTCCATGCCAGTGTTCACCGATAAGCAAAAATGAGGGCAAAAAAAAAATGCATATATAGTCCCCGGGGCTCATTCCACAACGCCCGTATATCAACCTGTTTACCAATGTATTTATGAATTATTTATGTAGCTAAAAAATGGGAGAAAAAAAAAAAAAAAAAAAAAAAACGCACTCCTTGTTGATACGCGTTTAAAAGCATACATATAAGTTTGCATAAGGCAAAGTAAAAAAAAAAAAAAAAAAAAAGGGAAATAAAAAAAAGAAATCCCAATACGTTAGCAGATTTAGCCATAAAAACGAAACACTTCGCGCAACGGAATTCCCTTCACGATGTTGCAAAATGGTTTGAGGGATAGAGTAACACTTGCCACATGATAGTATTTAAAAAAAAAAAAAAAAAAAAAAAAAAAAAAAAATGGGAAAAAAAAAAAAAAAAAAAAAAAAACGCACTCCTTGTTGATACGCGTTTAAAAGCATACATATAAGTTTGCATAAGGCAAAGTAAAAAAAAAAAAAAAAAAAAAAAGGGAAATAAAAAAAAGAAATCCCAATACGTTAGCAGATTTAGCCATAAAAACGAAACACTTCGCGCAACGGAATTCCCTTCACGATGTTGCAAAATGGTTTGAGGGATAGAGTAACACTTGCCACATGATAGTATTTAAAAAAAAAAAAAAAAAAAAAAATATAGCTAAATGGGAGATAACGAAAATAAAGAGAAGAGGACCTCTGCTTCTTCCCCAAGCGAAGAAGGTGACGACAAAACGAACAAGCAGTGGACAAATGCCAAAAATGGGGAGGAAAATTCTGGAGGCTCCAAAAATTTGAGCAACTCTAACAGCTTGCCAAAGGGGAAAGGAAAAAAAAATAAGCGCGGGGAGAGCGACTCAAGCGGCAAGAGGAAGGAACAGCTGGAGGCGAAGGCAAGCATCGAGGACATCTTCAACAGCCTGAAGGCCAAGGAGAAGAAGGCTACAAAAGTTAGTAGCGAGTCGAGGCCTATTAAGAAAAACTCGGAAAAAAGCGGCGTCAACGCCGGTCCGGTCCAGAAGAAGGCACAACGGCGGGTCGCCAAGGGGGAGGTCACCCAACGCGCGCGAACGCCGGATGGGTTGCCCATTTATTCTATGGAGGAGCTCAAGATGGGTAAGCTTCGTCGTGCATGTGTTGTCGTTGCTTCGCCGTCTGAGCGTTGTCACTGCTTCGCCTTACTACTTCACCACACTGAACACAACGCCAACTCCCTTTTTGCAGGCCAAGGAGGATACACGAAAGATTGCCCATTCGAATGCAACTGCTGCTTTTAGGTCTTTCCCTGAAGGGGGGATATTATACTTCCAATCCCGGTCATACTTTTTGAAGGGGGGAAAAGGTTGCACAAAAAAACTGTATAACATATGAAGAATTAAAAATGGCCTAAAAAAAAAAAAAAAAAGCTTATGCGATAATTTGGATCCATTCTGTAGATTTGATATCGTATTGTAATTGTGACAAAAGACAGACAGCTCCAAAAAAAAATGGAAGATTTTTTTCTTTTCGTTTGAGCCATTGCGGGGGGGCGTATGCTATTTTTGGCTACCCTTGGTGATAATCGTTTGTTGTGGTGATTGACCCCGTGTTTGTCCAATTACTCCTGTCGGCAGGGGAGACTTCCCAACGAGAGAGGGTATGGGCGATAGACCTACGTTGAAACGTACAGATGTGTGCTTTGCTCGTAAGGGGGACACAAGTAACAATGTGACTTAACCTCTGACGTATGTTTTTTTTTTTTTTCACTTCCACCCCCGTCGTGCCTTTCATATATATTCATAACGGCTCTGGGTGGACGTACTTTTTTCAATTATCCTCTACATATGGTTCTTCTCTTTTTGTCTCCGCACCCGCTTCTGCCTCTGTTGCCTCGTCTGCGTCTTCATTTTTGTGTCCCTCTGTTGAGGTGCCGTTGCAGAAGCGGAGCACTTTTTTTTGTGGCACACACTCCTTGAAAACCTTCATCCAATTTTTGTTTTTTAAAAAACTTATTAAAATCTCTACCACAGTATTAACGTTCAGTACGTTGCTTTTTCTTTTTTTAAAATACTTCTGTGTGGTTAGAATGGGAAAAAAAAAAAAAAAAATGGAGTTATGAACGATACAATGTCGAAGGCAGAACGTGAGCACTAATTGTACCGTCCTGCTGGCTGTATCGACCACCTGGGGGGTAGAGGTGGGGCACAGTTCCCTCCATCCTATTGGACGCGGGTGAATGGTATATATATATATTTTTTTTCTTTTGTGATGATATGTACCTCCAGGGGTAACTTTTTTGTCACTAGGTTGTGCAGGGATGCCTGGTAGAAGGACAAATTCTGAGGGAGGTGTATGAGGGGAAGTACAAAAAGGGGCGTGTGAAGAATTGTTTCTCTCGTGAGTATGTAGGCGGAATGGACCTTCGTAGTGCTCATCCACGTGTAGGTGGGCTATCGCAAAATGGATCCGCTCAAATGAATCATATCGCCTCTCTCCGCGGGGAACACTCACCTTGGAAACGCTCCGGTCGACCAGGGCAGAAATGATATACACCTCGTCGTCTCGAACTTCGGTTAGTTCCTACAGGGGGGTAGTGGGGGTACGTTTGTATTCGTTTGTTCGGTCTGGTGTATCACACGCAGTACAGTGAGGAGGACGGCTTAACACCTCTCCCACTTGCTCACCTCCTCCGCGTCGGGGGATAAAACGACAATCTTCTCCCTCGGGAACACATCCCAGTAGTCCTCGGAGTGCATGTGGACGTGCCACTTGTCCATCGCATACTTCTCTCTGAGCTGTGTGTAGAATTCGTCGCTGCTGGACAAGCTAGTAAAATGAAATTGCACATGCAGCTGCTCCTTAATCATGTAGTGGTAGCCCAGAAAAACCTGTTTGGCTAAACTAGATACTTCCTTCTCACCCATAAGATTTAAAAAACTACAGTTGTAGCAAATTTTATATCCCTCATTGTACGCCTTGATTAAAAATTGTTTCCTTTTTTTTTTTTTCTCTTCCTGTAAAGCTCTCCTTTCGGCTAGAAATTGTATCCTCTCACTTGAATTCAGACCATTTAATATTTTCAAAAGATCATTTTTTTTTTTTTCTTTTCTTTTTTTTTTTTCTTCTGGTCTATTTTTCTTCCTCTTTTCCTTTAGGTATTCTCTTTTTTCTTTTTTTTTTTCCTTTTTGGTTTTTTTGTTTCCCCTTCTGTTCACTTTGTCCACATCCTTCTGGTCCACCACATTGGCCAGGCTGGCGAGCAGGCTACTTCCCTCGTCCAGGTCGTCCTTTGCTTTTTCCACATGACATTCCGCTTCCCCCTCAGGTTGGTTTCCCCCTTCTGTGCTACCCATTTTTTTTTTTGCACTTTTTTAACACCCCCCCCTTTTGGGGATAGCTTCTACTAACTTATTAGGGGGTCCTTCCTGCTTGGTGGTAGGTGTCCCGTTGCTTCTCCCTCCGTAGGTCAACGCCCTTTTCCCCTTACTGTAACTACTTCCTCACGCTGTTCTAAAATGACATTTGGCTAACTCCTGACATGCACAGTTGCGCAGATGCACAGCTCACTGCACCTATGCAGCCATGGATTCTCACAGCCGTCAGGGGGAGCTACTAGCAAAAGGGTTTTTACTCACAAGAGAACACTCTTCCAAAACGAAGAGGTGAAATAGCGCAACGTGGAAAAAAAAAAAAAAAAAAAAATTCAAATTAGCGCAAATAAGAGAAAGAGAGTGTCCGTTGCCGAGCATTGCAAATTGTAGTCTCTTTTGCCCCGTGTTCAAATTTCCTCTGCCCAATTTCGCAGCTTTTTTTCCCCAGACCCTCAGCGGAGGAGATTAAAAAAAACAAAAAAACAAAAAAAAAAACTCTACGAACGTGCGCCGTCTCACCTTGTCACAAGGAGGGAAACATTTAAGTGAGTCTTCCCCCCTCCCCCCGTTACAAAGACCTGCAGATGACTGCACGTGCGTAGTTGCCGCCACCACGGAGCAAGTATAAGTGCGTGCAGGGATTCCACACTTGCCAGCCCCTCGGTGGCACCGGCGATCGCGCCTTCCTCCTTTTTAAAAATTTTCCGCTCCTGTGCTGCGCAAATTTTGTTCGGCGAATTATATGATCAAAGTCCGCTGCAGGCATAAAAAAAAAAAAAAAAAAACAAAAAAAAAAAAGTAGAGCTTACCATAACGCAACTTAAACACATCGCACAGAACAACGAAGCGTGAGGGGCGAAAGGACGGACACAGCGTGACCGAACTAATCGTTATACGTAGCTTCTTTTTTTCTTTACCAAAATATAAGACCCTCGTGGATGTAAGCGAAACCAATTCGTTAAAGCAGCTTGCGAAACGGGAAGGAGGATGAAGAGAAACCCTAAGAGGGGCACGCCAAGCGCAGTTAAGCCAAGGTAGGCCTATTTGTGCATTTGTGTACTGTGATCCCCCCCCCCTTCCCCTCTGCGCGGGCATGCCTTATTAGATCACCACAAAGGGGGGGAGGCATCACTTTCTTCTCCCACAAGTGCAAAACTGATATGTGCCCTTCCCCTGCTGCGCACATGTGTACTCAGGTAAGATACGACCGCGCATGACCAAACCCCACTAACACACTATACACCCCTCCCCAAAAAAAAATGCTAAAAATTATGAACCAGAAAACGCTGCTGCTTGCGAACGTCGCATCAGCATGCATCCTTGTGTACGCCCTGAGTAAGTACCACCCCGAGAAGACGAATAAAATTTTGCACCAAATTGAAGGGGTGGCCAAATGGCTACTTAAAACTCCTCAAATTCTAATTCATAAATGGTATGGAGAGTGGAAAAAAAAAAAAAAAATACAACTCCCTGTAGTAGACAAAGATGTTACCATCAATTTAAGTGACGACGACTTAGATAAAAAATTCCTTCAAGCTTGCAAAGCAGTGAAGATAAACAGAAGTCAGTTCAAATTTGAAGAGTGGATTTACCTGTATGGCTTGTATAAACAAGTAACCGCTGGAGACATGAACCCAGATGTGGGTGATTCAGACAAGCAGTTAAAAGAAGAGTCGAGCGGGGACAAAGGAACACCCACGAAGAGTGGAGTACGCGAAGGAGGAAACAAGTATCTGATGGATGCTAAATTGAACGCATGGAAACATTTCCACGGAGTTAGTAAAAGGGTATGCAAATTTTTGTACATGGAATTTGTTGAGAAGACCCTTCCCCAGGGGATAAAAGAGGAGAGCTACAGTGACACATTCGACTTTAAGAAAACGATGAGCAAGATGAAGCCTCTGCAGGATATGCTCCTAGGAGTTACACAAGGGAGTTACCTTAATGACAAGGACAACGTTGATGATACAAACAATTTGAGTGACCCCCTCTGTAGACATGTGGTACAGGCAAATCTGCAATACATAAAAAGTGCCTTAAAAAATAACCCATACTTGGTAAATAAAAGAAACTCAGATGGACTGTGCGCCTTGCATTATGCATGCGATAGGGGGTACCTAGACATTGTAAAAGTTTTAATCGAGTATGGTGCTGATGTGAATGCAGACGATTCTTTTGGAGACACTGCCCTTCACATTGCTGCGTATTCAGGCAAGACGGACATTATAAAATATTTAACCAGCGTCGGTGCTGATGTAAATAGGAAGAACTCAGAAGGGTTGACCTTCAACTCGATACTTAGTCAAGAGACGGAGTTGTACTAAGCGCGTCTCCTCCGCGTGTGCATTCATGCATGCGTACAGGGGCATGCGCATACATGCATGCATGCATGCGCGCGTGCGATCGCAAAAAAAAAATATACCTACGGTGCCCAAACTTTATTTGTAGTAGACGTGCAGGTCGTCAACTCCCCACGACGTGGTACAGGCGTCGTTTGTTTTTTTTAAAGTGCTTCCAATCAGTATTCTAACCGTCTCTGTCGCGTAAAAGGGGAAGGGGTAGAGAGCGGAGCCCATGTGAGGAGATGGAGTTGTATATATGTAGGTGCATCTCCTTCGGGGACGCCCAATCACATCCTCTAGCGTGTGTGTAACCCACCTGAGGAGTGCTCGAATTCTACGTCCACAGGTACCTGCAGTTGTTTTCGAGGGACAATTAGCAACGTGTAAGCAATGTTTATATGACTGCTTGGCAAAATTTTATAGTGTGCTCTTTTTTCTGCCCTGCACACAATTTCAAACACGATAGGCGCGTATATATAACTACGCTCCCCGGTAATCGCTTCCGAGTTTGTACTCACTGATAATCGATCGGGAGTCTCCTCCCCGCAAAGGTTTATTCCGTCACCAACACCCTGCGGAGGGAAGTGTGCAAAAAAAAAAAAAAAAACGCTTCCCTTTTATTATCATTATTGTGTTTTCTTTTTGGAGAGTAAGGCAACAGGGGAGATCCAAGTTGCCATCCCAGCCTCATGTTACCTTTTCTACATGGTTCGATTTGTACGATTCTGCATGAGTGTGTGGGGTGGGGGAGGAAAGAAGATTAACATATAAGTATGACGTTACACGTTATCCCAGTTCTTCTTTGGGGGTTGGGTGACAAAAATGATGAAGGGCACTGGTTGTCCACCCCCACCGCATGCTTACCCGCCCAGACGGTCTTCCCATCAGTTTGAAGAAACAATGAATCGCCTTTCCATGCATCGAAGAAATGAACCCTTAATTTAATTTTCAGTGCACTATGCCTTGGTATGTCTCTAACTGTTGTGTAGGCCTCCAGGGCGCCGAATATGCTGCACGGAGTGGGGGGGGGAGGAATGCACGTGGAACGGCCATTTTATTTCATTCTTCTGCGTACACTTGTCTGCACCATTTTGTGCATTTGTTTCGCATGCGATTCTTCTCTCCTTTTGTTGCCATACCAGGGTCCCCCCAGGAAGGTGTCGGGGGAATTCCCGCATGTGCTGATGTCCTTTTGTACAGGAGGGGAGTTTAGTGGGGCGATCATCCGGGGAAAGGGAAATTCATATGAGAAGCGGTAAAACGATTTGACTGTAAATGATATAGCGCCATGCTATGCTGCTCTACATGGCAGAGTTGTTTGTGTGTGTGTTTTTTTTTTCCCCTGATGTCGATTTGTTTAAGTAGTACCGAGGGGCTCCAGGCACTCTCCTTCCGGTCGAAGGTATCCAGGTGGTGCAGAGTCCACTGCTTGTGTTCAAACGCGCTGTACTCATTCGTGTGGACAGTGCCAAAAACATTTAAGCTCCCTACGGTTGTCACCTTCTCTTGAACCTCCAAATAGGTGTTGTCCTTGTTACGAATAAAAAATGAATTCCCTTCTTCATAGAAGTTAATTTCTTTTTTGCAGAGTTCCCATTTGGAGAGGAATGTCAATTTTTTCGTTTTGATTTCGTAGTCACCCTTCACATGTCCGCTAAGCAGCAGTAGCATTGGGAGAAGAATCACTCCGAGGTCAACGCCCTTCATCGTGCGATCCCTCGGGACATGTGACTAGAGGAGTCTATGTCCACACACGTTTGTAAACATACGTACACGTATGTATGTCTGCCCTTACAGGTGGACAATAATTTTAAGTGAACAAAATTTTCCCGTGAGAATTGTGCGCCTTGTCTTTTTCGCCCAAATTGAGAAAAAACGGGGAGGATAGGCTGAAGGGGGAAAAAGAGTCGTCCTCTGTTTTGCCTATTTGGTGAACCGTTTTGTGAGCTATTTGGCGAAGTCACTTGCTGCATATCACTTTTGCGTTTGCCCATTGGGCGAGTCCCCCCGGAAAAAAAATAAAAAATAAAAACACCGCAAATTAAGCATGAAGTGAAAAATATGTTAATAATATGTGAAAAAGAGGTGAAAGGGACATGTAGAGGATGTGACCGCAAAAGGCCCAATAAATACTCGCATGGGCACACGAAAAGTGTACACTTGTGCAAACACAATAGCGACGTGTGCCTCACCCAAGCCCCTCCACCCTTTGCATAACTTTTTTTTCATTGCCCTTTTTCTGCTTACCGTTTGGCAATCCCCACGTGTATGTACACACCAAGCGGCACGGCAGTAACAAACCTCAACGTCCAACGTCACACCGTCCGGACGGAGACGAGACCCACGGGGGAGTGTACCCCTCCCCCCAGGACAAAAAAAAAAAAAAAAATAATGTGAAACGAACCCACACAGACGATATAATGATTGAGTATATAAAATGTGAGTGTACCAAATATGCTGTGCCGGAGGAAGATTCTGAACCGCCAATAAACGTCTCGGCCAACGCGCAGAACACGCTAGTGGCTTTTGTGAAAAATGAAAAATATGTGCACGTGTCCAAAATAACAAGTGGAAAGTTGTCCCCATGTAAGACGATATTCCTGGCGGTAAGTTGTCCCATGCACCAGGAGACGTGCAGGCCTGCGAGACGGCCACATTTGTCCTACCCACTTGTCTGCCCACGTTCAAACAAATCCCCCCGCACTCCCACAAACACAGAACAGGCACAAAATTGTTGCCCTCGAATGGTCGAGACAAAACGACCTTCTCGTACTCACCATCGACATGAAATGCGTCATATATAAAGAGGGAAAAAACGGACGATGGAAACCCACCAATGTTAGCATCACATCTGAGGAACTCCTACCTACTTGTGCCTGTTGGCATCCACATGCCCACTCCTTTGCCATTGGATTTGCGTCCGGCGTTATATTCATTTGTTCTTCAAAGGGAGAAGATACAAAATGGAAAATACAAAAGGTGGTAAATCACTCTGGGAGCGTTTTGTTCCTACAGTGGAGCTATTCAGGTATGGCCGACCAGAAGCGGCAGGCGAAGCTGTGCAGAAGAGTGTTTCCTCCATATTATCTGTCGTCTTTCCGTTTACACTGTTAATTTTTTTTTTTTTTCCCAAGGGCATATACTGTGTAGCTGCTCCATGGACTCATCTGCTCAGCTCGTGCGCACGTCGGGCACTGTGGACGAAGACACACCAGATGGAGGAAAAACTAGGTTCACCTGCTTGTATACCACGACTTGGTTACCTTTATTTTGTAGCATTTTTTGTACCATTTTTTGTATAATTTTTTGTAGTGGGCCTATTTGCTTGCTCGCACATGTGGCCTACGTAGAGGCAGCCTTTCAAATGTGCCCACCATGGGGCCTTTTTCCTGCGCAGGATGCACCCCAATATTGACGAACTCGTCGAGGACAGTAACTTAAACAGCAACGACGTCATCGGCAAGGTAATAGCCCATTTCATGACCTGCATTCCGTGACCCCCATTTTGTGATCTCCATTTTGCTTACCCCCATTTCCTATTCATGCGGCATGTTGGACAGATCGAATGCGAAGGGCACGTCATTCTGCATAGTTCCTTTTCCCCATCGAACAAAAGAGTGGCCGTAATAGGTATGGACACGGTCACTCCACAACAGGGTGCGCGCAGTGCGCAGTTAAGAGCGCACCTCATTCTGCTGCTTCGTCACATTATCATTATTATTGCCATTACTATTATTATTATTATTGATGTTGTTGTTAATTTAATTTATTTTATTTTTTTCAGCAAGCAGCTTCGAAAATAACCGAGAACACCAGCAAATAATAATTTGCGACTACTTAAAGCCCATGCCCAACACGGAGTTCGTTTCTTGGGTTGGCCAGACGATGCAGAAGTGTCTTTTTTTGGATGAGGACACACTGCTGGTTGTACGTTACGCAGTGTTGTACGCGCGTTATGCGTGTAGCGCGGGAGTGTGCACTTAGACACATGTGGGAGGCGTCCCTCATTTTAATTTTAGCACCCACTCCATGGCAAAGCTAAAACGAACAGATCTCGTAAACCCATCTGTTCTTCATTTCTTCCATTTCGCAGTACGGCTATGAAATATTCCCCATCCTTGTAGAATGCCTGAGTGGGGAATGGACCCTATCGAAGGTGGTGCTGCCGCAGTTCTCAATTAAAAATTTAAGCATTGATTTTTTCTATGACAAAAAAAGCATTCAAGACATAGAGGACCAGTGCCAGAACATGAGCGGGAACGAAATAATTGGAGAAATAGTTGCTCATTCGAATAACATCTTGCAGATGTTCCTGTTGGAGCCGCTGGAGGGTCAAACATACACCCAATTTGTAACCGTGTCCAGCGATTTTAATGTTGTTTTTTGGCGTTTTCCTTGCAACAGCGTCTAGCTGTTTTTTAACAACCCTTTTTGGCTAGCTAGCCAGAAAAAAAAAAAAAATTCTGTACCGTGCATAAAATCTACCTGTTTACTCTGCACACAAATGCAAAAAAAAAAAAAAAAAAAAAAGTCCCCACTATGGCGAAGTAACAACTTTTACACTTTTTCCAACGCAAAGTGAACGAAGTGAAAAGGAGCACGAAAAAATCATAAAGAATACAAAAACGTTGGAACATTTTTCTTGTCCTACCTAATCCTGTGTGCAGATATCTGCGACATACGGGTTTTGATTGACAACGGATGAGAGCTAGGGGCATATCATTTTTTTTTTTTATCATTTTGAGGGAACCCAAATGGGGTGACAACAAACTATATTTGCACATATGAAAACGCAGAAAAGACGTATGCAGACAAATGTTAATCAAGAAGGACGATAAAAAAAAAAAAATCGAAAGAGACTTCCATCCAGAGAGTGTGTAGCCTCACGGAGGGAAACTTAACCAAATGATTAGCAAAAGAAACAGAGCGAGTGATGTAGTTGGTGGAGAAAACGCAACTGACACTCTCCCACTTATGCGCATAATGTGTAAAGTTGTACTTAAATAATTTACAAAATTGTTTAAAATGTTCGTTGCATCATTGTGCCCCTAAAACTTGATAATAAAAAAAAAAAAAAAGGAAAACAAAAAATGCCAACAAAATGAACACGCATATGAATTACCCATCCATCGAACTTTTGCAGACAGGAATTTAGTTACACGTTGCGTTGTGCTGATTTGTTTTTTTTTTTTTTCCCCCTTTTGTTATCACTTCACTGTGATGATAAATGTGTGCAATTCGGAATGATACACTACATTGTGTTGATTTATTTTTTTTTGCTTACATTTCACCTTTGAGTGTTAATTTGTTTAATTGACATTTTCTCCAAATTGAAGTTACACGTGGGTACGTTGCACCATCGCGGAAGAGTTGTCTTGTTCACTCGAAAAGTTTGTTCTATAAAGAAATAATACATGAAAAGGAAACACGTAAACAGTGCCGAAAAAAACACGCATAAAGTGTGCCAAAAAAAAAAAAAAAAAAACGTCCATAAAGTTCCCCCCAAAAAACACACTACCAGGACGTGTGTACACATTTCTGCACATACAACCCCCACGTGCGGCGCGAACGATAAGATGGAAATATTAAAAGGCAGTGTAACAAAAATTGTGAATACACAGCGAAGAAATCCACTGAGCTACGATGACGATGGAAAGCCTTTTAGTTCTCTCTTCAGGAAGAACCGCGTCTCCTTCTACGAGGACCTGCGCACAGAGGCGGTGCTTTTATTGGTACTGAAAAAGGGGGGCAACCCGACAAGATAAGCCAAAATAAAAGACGTACACCTTAGTGTACATGCGTACTTCCACCTGAGCATATGTGCCATCACCATAGTTGCCCCTTTTGAAGCACACATGTATGTATAATTGCGTTCACTTTTTATTCTATGATTAGGACAAGGGAAGCGAGCCAATAAACTATAAGTTGTAAGAGCGCAAAAACGAATGTGTATTATTCATCCCCTGCATCCCTCCCCACGCGAAGTGGACAGAGTAGCTGCCTATTTTAGCTGAACCCTGTGCATGTGAATATGTGCAAGTATATCCTTGTGTGACTATACTTAAATGGAAAAATTCCCACCACAGTCAATATATTTTTCTTACGTGACAAATTTCAGGATTAATAGAGAATGCGTCTTATTCTCGCAAGGGAAACAAATAAGACACACAAGGAAAAAACAGGTCCTACTCTTTATGCGAAATGATTTCCTCGATTAGTGCGCGTCAACATATTTATGAGTGTTGCGCGTGAGGAAAGTCCTTTGCTTGCGGTTGGAGGTTCAAGCTAAGCACTCGGATGGCTGTTTTGCTTAGCTTGCCCCTGGTTATGTCTACAAGATGGCTCATTTGTTTCACATTTGTAATTTATTGTTACACATTATTTATTTATTTATTTAATTTTTTTTTTTTTCTCTCTCTCTTCCAAATCGCAGGAGTTTGAAAAAATCAACGAGATTATAAACAGCATCGACTACTTGGACACCTTGAAGGAAAAGGTGCACGACAGAAATGTGGAGAAAATTATCGAGCCCCTGGAGATATGCGTTCCAAGGGAGGGGATACCAAAAGCCAGGTATAAATATCCGTCACAAAATGAAAATAGAGAATTTGAAAAATGGGTGGAGAAAAATCTGTGGAAGCGTCTACCCATTGTGGGGTTATGTTTTCGTTTTGTTATAGTTCCTTTTCATTTCTCTGTCACTTATTTCTCATTTTTTTTTTTTTTTTTTTTTTGGTCTCCTGTGTAGCGATGGGGAATATGGCGATCTGACATACAAGGATAAATTCGAGGCGCTGAAAAATAAGTATGACGATTTGAAGAAAAATCTGGACACAAGGATTCACATGGAGCTGATCAAGGTAATGATCATTGGGCGCCCTGCACACTGTTGTCGTGCCGCTCAGAAGTAGTGCTCACAAATGTGTATTACTCCTGTCCATACATATCTATACAACCACACATACGTGTCATGTTATTTATTTTTTTTTTTTTTCCCTGTGCCCTGTCCGTTTCTCAACAGGCGGGAGTGTTCTACAACAAAGACGACATACAAAACGTGCTCCATATGGTGAGGAAATATCAGGGGGATCTCAAGACGAAAAAGAGCATTATAAATGTTCAAAATGGAATCATACAGAACGTCATGGAGCGCAAGTGAGGATGAGATGAAATTGGGGTTCCTGCAGATGAGGGTGTAACTCCTGACGAAGGCGAGAAATGATGGGAGAAATATCACACTCGTGGGATTATTCTCCATGCACTGCGCGTCATTCTGCCACTCCGTTCAAATATATTTGTGCTCCCCTTTACGTTCGCAGCAAATTAAGCAGAAATAAGCTTATGGTTGATAAAAAAAAAAATGAGGAGCTCATGAAAATGTGCCGTACTTACTATGAGCAGAAGTGAGGACAAAGACAAAAATGGGAACGACGCCGAAAATGAAATGGACGGACACTCTACATACGTTTTATGCTTTCCCCATCATGTATTCATGGATCTGCTTATGAAATTATATCCCCCCTCCTGTCCACGCAGCAAAAGCGCACAGATAAGACTAAGAAAGCTGAAGCATGCGTTCCTCGAATATAAGATAGCCTTGGAGAGCATCGTCTCCTGTTGCGAGAAAATTGGAGTAATGAAACAACATGTGCCCTGTCCGTTTCTCAACAGGCGGGAGTGTTCTACAACAAAGACGACATACAAAACGTGCTCCATATGGTGAGGAAATATCAGGGGGATCTCAAGACGAAAAAGAGCATTATAAATGTTCAAAATGGAATCATACAGAACGTCATGGAGCGCAAGTGAGGATGAGATGAAATTGGGGTTCCTGCAGATGAGGGTGTAACTCCTGACGAAGGCGAGAAATGATGGGAGAAATATCACACTCGTGGGATTATTCTCCATGCACTGCGCGTCATTCTGCCACTCCGTTCAAATATATTTGTGCTCCCCTTTACGTTCGCAGCAAATTAAGCAGAAATAAGCTTATGGTTGATAAAAAAAAAAATGAGGAGCTCATGAAAATGTGCCGTACTTACTATGAGCAGAAGTGAGGACAAAGACAAAAATGGGAACGACGCCGAAAATGAAATGGACGGACACTCTACATACGTTTTATGCTTTCCCCATCATGTATTCATGGATCTGCTTATGAAATTATATCCCCCCTCCTGTCCACGCAGCAAAAGCGCACAGATAAGACTAAGAAAGCTGAAGCATGCGTTCCTCGAATATAAGATAGCCTTGGAGAGCATCGTCTCCTGTTGCGAGAAAATTGGAGTAATGAAACAACACTGCGAGGGAGGGGGACCAGGGGACACCACTGAACCGTGGCGCAGCTGTCATTTCCTTCCCCTGGGGTCCCCGTCAACCCTATATATTATCACCAGTGCACACCCTACCCCCCACACACTTTACACGCCATTACAGGGAGACAAAATAATTCTGATGGACGTCGTGAAGTCTGCCAGGGCGCAAACGGACCTGTCAATAGCCACCGACATATTGAACACGTAATGGGATAAAAAAACGTTCATTTGTTTTGCACCACGTGGAGCATCACTTCGTACATCACGTTGTACATCACGTCGAGCCTTGCCCCGCCCCACATACAGCAAAAAAATTCAGGAGCTGGAGATGAACATATGCTACTGCGAGCATCAAATCAACGTAGGCCGCTTACATGCCCCAGGGGGAGTCTCTCCCCACAGCGCAGACTAATCGGGGAGTTGAGTCATTGCTCCTTCACCTGTGTCTGTGTGTCGGTTTGCCTTTATGTATATACATATACACATATGTACACTTGTAAACACCCTCATGTGTGTTTTTTGTGTCCCCCCCCCCGCCTAAAGAGCCTGAAGGACGATTTGGACGCCATGCTAGGGAAGTTACAAAATGAGAAGAAAGAGAAACGGGAGGTGATGAACCAGACACTGCAATATAAGGAGTACCTGGCGAAGAACAACGCTATGCTTATAGAGGTAACGTAGTAGAAATAATTTTTTTTTTTTACGAAACACACGTAGGGATGCTTTGTCCGATTGGTACTCCTGTGCATGTGTTCACACAGCTTCTAATCGATGTACTCCTTTACGATCCTTTTTTAATAGGCACTGGAAAACTTTCGTCGCGTGATGATCAGTGTGGATGAGCATCTCGCCAGGGAGGGTGACAGAAGTAATTTCAAGGAGACCTTTGAGAAGAGCAAGAAAAAGGTGCGCGCGAGATTTTTTTTGCCCATTTTTTGGGGTGGCTTCCTTTTGGGGTCCACAACCCGTCCCGCTGCGATTATTGGCGTGTACAATTTGATCCTTCGGTCTACCCCCCCTCCCCTTTGTGTTGTGTGTTATTATATTTCCCCCTCAACTTGCACCCCCTCCCCCCCACAGTACAATGACTTTGTGCGGAAGGCTGCGCAGAAGAACAAGGACCTCCAGCAAATGGGGGACAAGCTTCTCTTGGAGAGTGCCTTGAGCGGACGCGAACTGAAAAAACACCAAGAGTACCTGAACAAGCAAATAAGTGAAATGATAAAAAAAAAAGGCGTAGTAGAAGGAGGAGAGGAAAAACAAGGAGAAGAACAGAAGGGGCTCAAGAATAGGGGCAACGTTGGAGAAGCAGAAAAAACGAACAACGAGGAACAGCAAGACAAGAAGCAAAACCTGGAAGGGGAATCCTCCCAGGGGGCGAAAGAAATAGCCAATGAAAAAGAAACAGAACAAGCAGAACAGAAAGACGAACAGCCTACTCACGTGGATGAAAGTCTGGAAGGGAAAAAAATAAATCAAGTGATGGAGTTGTTGAAAAAGAAACAAGTAAGGAGGAGGACAAAAATAACATGTTGATGCGAATTCTCTGGCGTGAGGCAGCACAAAAAAAAACGCATCTCCTAACTTCTCCCCCTTGTGTGCAGATGAATAGGCTATCATTTGAGGACTGCGTGGATGTCATATACAAGGCGGTAAGAGGGATGGCGAGAGGGGTAGCGCGGGCTGGACATAGTCCCGTGGGAAGGGTGATCATCCACATACTGCTCAGAATGTGAAGTGCCCATTTTTATAAGCCAGTTTGTTTCTCTACCAATCGTGCCTCGCAAAAGGCACCCATTCTTCTTCTTCATGTTCCTGTTTGCACATTGCTCCACCCCATTTGCCATTAGAATATCCCTCTGACGCAGAGCAAGCTGAATGAGCTGAAGGCAATGGGCGAAGTAGACAAAGAAGACCTGGTTGCCTTCATTAAAACTTTTATAATAGACGAGGACGAAGCCTTACAGAATATGATTACCTTCTTTGAAATTTGGGACGTCCAGGTGGGTTCTCCGTGGTGTTAGGGTGGAGAGCATCCTCTCACATTTCGCAAAAAAAAAAAAAAAAAAAAAAGGAGCAGATTTGTATGCACACTGGCGTGTGTTAATGCGTCAACGCGTTCGTTGCAACCCTAAACATCTTCCAACTACATATATTTTTTTTCTCCCCTGCTTGGAACCCAAAACAGAAAACGGGTTACATGCACAAGGAGCTGATTTTGTTAATATTGAAGCAGTTCGGGGACAGGCTCACGGAAGACGAAATGGAATATTTGCAGGGGTAAGTGCGCAAAAAAAATATAAAAAAAAAAAAAAAAGGGAAGAAAAAAAAAAGAGCACAGCGAGTAGGACCAGGGGGGGCTACGTAGCTAAGACAACTCCACACAGAACATGTTTCATACATTCCCTATTTATACGCCCGTGCAAATGCGAAATTAATATATTTTTTTTTTTTTTTTTTTTTTGCAGAGAGGTAAATGCCTTCAAGGATTCTAACATCTCGTACGTTTTATTACCAAAAAGGGGCGGGGGGAAAAAAAAAAAAAAAAAAAAAAAAAAAAAAAAAAAGTGAGGGCGGAGCGGGTGCCCTATAACACGGGGGCAACAATAAGGTTACAGTGCATGGCGGCCCCTGGACTTATGCCTCTGTTGTGTCTACCAATTGTAACGCTTCCAGCTCGGTATCAACTTCCTTCCATTTTTCTCATTCCCCACAACGTACACCATTTAACAGATGGATCCAAGGAACAGACTAGGAGCACCATAGGATAGTGATACGTCTTCCAACTTGGTAGGACGTCACCACCCCCATAAAAAATGTGTCCCATTCAAGTGTACAATGACATAACGAGCAAATGTTGATAGGGGTTGTGTCACGGAGGAGTGAGTTCCACTGGGGGCTGGGGCCCTACCGAATGTGTGATCTCATTCGCTTAGCTGTGCGCATGCGTTCAGATGCATACCGTTTTTGGGTTCACCATCGGGAGGGTGTTACAGATGGAAGGTTGCAAGCCACACGAAGTACTCTTTTATGAGAGTCGTTTCCATTTTTTCTACTTTTGGTTTTCCATATTATTTTTTTTCAGTTTGGTGAGCCCACTGAAGTGGCTACTTTTAACCTACGCAGTGTTGCTACCACACAATGTACAACTTTTTTTTTTTTTTTTTTTTGTTTGCCTTTTTAACGTGGTAAGGAGCGGATAAAATAGAGCTTTTTATAGGTTATTTACGAGTGGTGGGGAAGAGGAACAAAATGGAAAATTCGTCCTTCTTCTTCTTCTTCTAGTCATTTTACCCGCCTTTTCCCCCCCCCAGGGTGGGATGGAGCAAGGTATATGTAAAATGAGGCATTTTATAAACGCGCCATTTATAAATGTGGCAGGGGTGACTATCCCGTTGGAGAAGGATCATGAAAAAAAGGTCCACCCTAATGGATCCTCTGACGAGTTTGCAAAAATGTGAAGTGAGGCAAGATAATCCCTAGGTGTATATTGTGCCCATTCGTTGTACGTATGTATGTATGCATGCATGTATGTGTGGCCTATGCATTTTCTTGCCCACGTGTACATGCTTCCGCTCCTGCCCGTCGGCGCACGTGAAAAGGAAAAAGGGGAGGCCAGCCTGCCATCTCCCAAAATGCGACGAACAAGGAGAAACAACACGATGTTTTTATACTTAAAAAAAAAAAAAAAGGATAGCGATTGTACCTAATGGGCTTCTTAACATATAGCCCGTTCGGGAGTCCGCTTAACCGAATTGGTGCCCTTCTCATGCATGGAGCGAGAGCGAAGAGATCTCCTCCTGCTGGGCCATTTTTAAATCTTCCCCTTCTTTAAGGGATAATCCATTTTGAGGAAAAAGAAAAAAAAGGCATATAACATTTCTTGGTCCCAGTGTTAATGAATTTTTTTTTTTTTTTTTTTTTTTTGTTCTTTTTGGGCATTTTTTAAGTGAAGAGAAATGGGGGGAAGTAAAAACGACAATTCGCAGGTGAATAAGGGGGGAGGTGGGGGCTCGAGTAAAAGCTCCAAGGGGGGCAGTAGCAAGTCCAGGGATGGGATAGGCAAGTCCAAGGAGGGGGTAGGAAAGTCTAAGGATGGGATAGGCAAGTCCAAGGAGGGGACAGGCAAATCCAAGGATGGGGAAGACAAGTCCGCCTCGGCGAGAACGCCCACTGGGGAGGAGGACACGGCGGCAAAGATTGAGGACACGACGGTTGGCGCGGGGGATTCCGAGAAGGCAACTGGAAGCAGTTCTGCAGCCTGTGCCGAGGGCGCCACTACAACGGTTGCCACTACAACGATGGTGACTACAACGATGACCGCTACAACTGCGGGTAGCACCGCCGCCAGCCCCCCCAGTGGTGGCAAAGTGACAAAGGGGGGAAGCAGCAAAGGGGGGAGTAGTAAGGGAGGGAGCAGCAAGGCGAGCGCGAAGGGGTCAGGCAGCTCCAAGAATAGGGATAAGGGTTCAGCGAGCGCTGCACCCAGCGGTAGTAAAGTGGCCAAGGGGGGGAGCAGTAAAGGGGGGAGTAGCAAAGGGGGGAGTAGCAAAGGGGGGAGCAGCAAAGCGCGTAGCACGGGGAAGGCGCTGAGTTCGTTATCCAAATTCAACGACTCGTACGCCTTGATATTTCCAAACGCACTGCCAGTAAAGCAAGTGATGTGGGGCCTGGACCCCCTGAACAAAGTGTGGAGGTACTGTTCCATTGTGTACGCCAGACCAAAGAATAAAAATTTGAATGATTTAAATTTTATTTTCCCCTTAAATTTAAGTAAAAATGAAATAATGAATAAATTATCATCGACGGAAATGTCCACAAGTACCACTCAAATGAAAGAGTGCGATTATGACTACTATGTGCATTGGGAGAAATTTGACAGGCGCTTAGATTGCTGGTTAGCATATAAGAATTTGCGTCTGCTGGAAGAAGAGCCAGATGATGGGTTGCCTTGTATAGGGCAAATGGATAATGAACATTCAGAACATGATGATCATGCAGGAATCGATAAAGAATATCTGAGAGAACATGAAGAAAACACAAAATTAAAAACAATTAATCAAATTAAATTTGGAAAATATTTAATTGATACTTGGTACTTTTCGCCATACCCAAAAGAATATCAAAATATTGACATACTATACATTTGTGAATTTTGTTTATCCTTTTTTAAAGAAAATGAAGAGCTGCTTCGTCATACAGAAAAATGTGAAATCAGACATCCGCCTGGAAATGAAATATACCGTTGTGAAAATATTTCCATTTTTGAAATTGATGGAACTTATTTTAGAATTTATTGTGAAAATTTATGTTTCTTGTCCAAACTTTTTTTGGATCATAAAACATTAAAACATCGAGTCAATTTATTTTTATTTTATGTCATCACTGAGTGTGATAAATTTGGCTATCACATCACAGGATACTTTTCAAAAGAAAAATATTCAAAAAATAATGTGTCTTGCATTTTGACCCTTCCTCAACATCAGAAAAAAGGGTATGGAAAATTTTTAATAAATTTTAGCTACTTTTTATCTCAAACTGAAAAACGTACTGGTACTCCTGAAAGGCCTTTATCAGATTTGGGAGTGGCTTCTTATATGGCTTACTGGTACGAGACACTGCTCAAGGTGCTGGTCAACTATGAAGAGTTGTCCATTCAAGACTTGTCGGAAATGACTAGCATTGAGACCAATGATATTATTTCGTGTCTTGAGGAGAAGGAGATTTTTAAAACTGTCGCCAGTGCGGGAGGGGAGTCTGTGTACTACATCAACCCGCAGCAGCTGGAGTTTGTGCTCGCCAAGGTGGGCCAAAAGAACTACGAATTGTGCAGGAGTAAGCTGCACTGGGTCTCCTACGATTATTACTTGGCCATGTACGAGTAGGCACGCGGTGGGCGATGTGTACGTGTGTGTGCGCATGCCGCACATACCGCACATACCGCACATACAGCAGACGCCGCAGGTGTGCGTGTGTGTTTGCATTTCTGCGTCCTTCCGCTGATGGGCATAATAATCTCACCCCTGGCTTGCCATCTTTTTTTTAATTTTTTTTTTATTTTTTTGTTCAGCGGAGTTTTGCGCGCACCCCGGTCGCCTTGTCAAGGGGAAAACGCACACTTTGCTGTGGTGACTTTTTAAACCCGATTTGCATCCATTTGCATCCATATGCATCAGTTTGCCGCGAATTGTAGCGATGTGAAGGAGTTGCAGGGGAGGTGCGGCCTCCCCGTTGTAACATCTGTCTTAACCAATTTGTTGTACAACCGGTCATCCATTTTCCCGCGCCAACGCGGCAATGCGCCCATGTGGCAATGTGCAAATGAATTAAAGGGGAAGAAAAGCCCCTGTTGTGTGGTGGCAAAAAAAAAAAAAAAAAAGAGAGTTCGTAGGGACACACAGCGTTGGCTATGAAGCTAAAAAAAAAATGTAAACACAGAGGGGTGACGTTCCTGCATTGGGAACAGAACCCACATTTGCATAAAAAAAAAAAAAAAAACTTTTTAAATGAATTACTGTGGAGGGAAAACGGCAATGGAGCAAAGCTTGACGCGCGTGCGTCAGTCGCTGTCTGAGTCGGCGTCGCTTTGGTCGACCTCGACGGCGGGTTGGTCTTCTTCCCCGTTATGCTCCTCATTCAGGTCCCCATTTGCATCTCCATTTGCGTCTCCATTTGCGTCTCCATTTGCGTCTCCATTTTCATCGCCGCCTTCCTCCTGCTTGTTCTTCTTCTTGTTTTTCTTTTTTTTCTTTTTCTTCTTCTTCTTTTTCTTCTTGCCTTCGTCCTCCTCGTTCTCCCCCTCCGCGTCCCCATCCGGGACCGCGCCAATCTCGCGATTGTAAATTTGTTCTGCCTCATTCATGTAGTCTATATTTTTGGACAGCTTCACCCCTTTGACCATGTGGAGAATTTTATGCTCGAGCTGCTTCTTAAATATAACTCCATATGAGTTGGTAGGGTGATCTGAGAAGGAGTCGATTCTAGCAGCCATGGCACTCTTGCAGGAGAGGTACCTGGACATGCGGCCCTTCATAGGGAGTGGCGTTTTCGAAATGTAGGAAGAATTGTAGAGAATGCCAAATTTAGGGGTTTTTTTATTTCCCTTAAGAGAATTAAAAAGGGCTTTTTCCGATCCAAAGATTTGTATACTGCTGGAAGGACATTTGGCTAAATTTACAAGAGACCCTGCATGGCTAATTAAACGAGCACTTAATGTATTTCCTAAGAGTTCCTTCAGGTTTGGAGAAACGATATTCAATTTTCTGTCCAAGTACTCCCATAACACATTTCTGGTATTAAAAAGGTTAATAACTTCATTAGAAAAATTAATAATATTATTTAAATCTTCTTGTGTTAATTCTTGTCCAATGGACAGGTTAGCTACTTTAACAATTTGCTCAGTCATCTGTTCATCATTTGTAATTTCAGTAATTTTTTGCTTTTCCTCCTCATCCTCAAAATTAAAATCTTCTTTAATTTTTATTAGGTTAACCAATTTACAATACATAGCTACATCTGTAACGATTTTCTTAAGTTCAGGGAAATGCCAACTGTACCATTCAATCACTCTCATGCTGAACAGGTTAATATTTTTATCCAATGATTCTATAGTACCTATGCTATTAATAATGGATTTGTCTTGCTTCCTTGGGTCCAATTTTAATTTTGATCTGGAATAGCTATGTCCTAATCCGATATTAAAATGTTTTATATCAATATCCCCAGTGTTGTCTACATAGGTACCAATTTTTTTTAAATAAAAATGTCTGCAGGCTCTAAACAATTCTAATATATTATTATTATGAATTATATTGAAGCCAATATTGGACAGGTACTTTCCTAAGTTGATATCTGCTACCCCTAATTCGTATTGACTTTTATTGCTGGGCAAATTTTGCTCTAAAAAGGTTAATAAAAAATCTGTAGCCTTGCCTTCATTAATGTGGAGCAAATTATCTAACGCTGTTTCTGCTGTTTCAAAAGATATGAACGAACACAATTGTACAATCTCGTGAAATAAATCAGCCTTTTGAATTTTCTTCTCCAAATTTTCATTGCTGCCTATTTGCTCCCATTCCTTTACCCTCAGCAGGAAATATCCCGCAGAGCATTCGAACAGGATGTACAGCTCCGTCATTTTGTCGCTCTTACAACCGTTGCTGATGATAGGGAACAAGAACACAGCAAACCTCATTCGACAAATAATACATGGGGGGGGGGTATATAACCTTTATAAACGCATCTCGTCCGTCGTATGGCGATGGGGCGTAGGGGAAAGAGGTTTTTTTTTTTTTTTTTTTTTTTTACTCCATCTCATATGCGTTCTTTAATTAAGCGGTCGTGTATCTGTGTTGTTACGCGGGTTAGCAACCCTTTTGCTAATTAACAAAAAAACCGCGTCGCATATATATAACGAGGAGATGCGCAAAAAAAAAAAAATGCAATTAAAAAATGGCCTTAAAAAAATGCAGTAAAAAAAATGTAGCCAAAAATGGAGTTAACAATGCAGCAAAAATGAGAACAAAGGAAAAAAAAAAAAAAAAAAAAAAAAAAAAAAAAAAAAAAGCCGCGTCGCTCGTTTCCCCCCCCAATAAGGCTACGGAAGCAACGAGTATTTAAAATTCACAGCAGTGCAGCTTTTCAATTTCAACTCTCGCGCGCGACAAAATACTTGGGTCGCTCAGATCGGCACTCGGCCTCCGCCCTTGCGCGACAACAACAATTGGCCCAGTTGCCTGTCCCCTTGAATTCCCCACTTGAAAGGGAAAATAAAAAAAAAAAAAAAAAATATATCCCTATGTACATAAGCGTATGTTAATTTTAGTGATATAATTTTTAAATGGTACTGCCACTAACTGTTTATTTTTTTTTTCATTTTTTTTTTTTTTTTTGCGATGCCAATTTTAAATGAGGAACGCCGTCCGCTTTTTTTGCGGCCCCAATGGGACGCACTTTTTCATTTCATTGTGACTCTCCTTTGTAATGAAATTATTTTCAACAGGGTTTTCTCCCAAGGGGGAGCGAATTCTGTTCAGAGGTGTGCCCCGTCACAGGAATACCTTTATCCTGTTTAACAAACATGTGATGGCGGTGGGTGGGTGTTGTCCTCCTTGTCTCATCCTGCATTGTGCCAATGGCACGCTCAATTTCGTTGACTTGAAAAGAAAGGTGGGCCCCTGTGTGTGGGGGGATAATAGGTCTTTTCGAGGAGTATTATTACTTTCCCCGGCTCAAAAAAAAAAAAAAAAAAAAAAAAAGGTAGTTCACCCTCATCACCATTTTCGTCACAACCTATACTTTGGTCACATGAGATAACCGAGTAGGAGAAACACGTTAGGGGTTATAAAACTCCGCCCGCTCCTCTGCAGGCAAAACGCACGGCCGAATATATAAATACCCCTACACAAAGATTTATTATCCGTCATGGGATAAAAATGGGACGACGGGGCAGTCCCCACACGTGTAGAGACCATATATAACCCCCCCCTTCCCTCACACCATGCACGGTCCACATGTCACATTTTACACTTCCCGGGGAAAGACAATTCTAGAGTAATAATTTCCCTCTTCAAAATGAGGCACATTTAAACGGACCTTATTTACACATGACTATTTCTGTGCGTAGCTCGTGTGTCATTATATAAGTGATCACTCCATTATATATGTGGAGCGGAGGGGGAGGGGAGGGAAAAAAAGGACGAGGTTATACCAATTAGGGATATCCAATCAGTGAGGACGATTGCTCTGTTGTCTCTCGCAGGCCATTTCCCCCTTTACCTTCCATGAGGGGATGTGCATGCTGCAGTGATAAGTAGAGGGGGGGGGGAAGGCGCATTAACGCAGTTTAAGTTTATTGTTCGGCTACTACACAGCTGCTGTGGAGTCACCGCGTGGCAGTGCGCGTTGAGAGAATTCTCATGACACACAAATGGAAAAGATGCACCCTCTCCCTCCCCCCTTCACCCCCTCTCTCTATGCGTAAAGAATACGCGAGGCGCATCTAAGTGCTTGTGCCTCTCCGGTTCTTTTCCATCGAAAGAGAAAGGGTTGCTTTCTACCTCCCGTCCCCTCACGTCCCCACCAAGCGCAGGTAACATAGTAGGGTGTGGGGGGGGACC